AGCTTCGGACAAGCCATACTGGCGCCCGCCGATTGGCTCCTTCTCGTGGCCCTGTGATCCCCGACGAGCGACATGGACATTGCATCTGCCACATGCGGAAAGTCGTGTAGCAGCTGGATAGAAGTCGAAATTAGGACAAGAAGGCATCCCCCTTGTTGCAACAAAGCCTTTGAAGGAAAGGTGTCTCAAGGACCTACCGCAGACATGAGTCAGGTGGAACCGCCGGCAGCTTGCGTACGAGAGCATAGTGGAACGCCTTGAGCTCAAGCTACTGGACCAGCGACCAGCTGCGGAGCTTTCAACCGAGAACCCTTCGCCTGCCCCAAGTGCCTTCGCTATGTCACTCCGGAGCCCCACACCCGAACTTGAGGGAAGTTGCGTTGGCGACACCCTCACTTCTTTCAAGCCTCAGGGAAGGGTCCGCCGTGGTCCATGGCAGCCAGCGCTTGTGCCAGCGGGAGCTCCTGTCTTCAGACACGGACCGCAATCGCTTCTGAGCTCTTTCCGAGGTAGGGGATAGCACAGCCAGGGCAGCATGCACAGGGCTGGATGCAGTCGATGCTACAAACAGATCCAGTTCCACCACGACAACCCTTCCGGTCCTGATAGATCAGGAGTGAGGCAAGGCCTGGGGCGACTGTGGACGGTCAAGGGCTCCGCCTCCAACCTGTCTCCTCTTTTTGCTTCCGACTATAGTGTAAGGGTCTTGCGAGCATTGCAGGTGCTTTCCGCCAGCTGTTTCTGTACGGAAGCTGGGTTCCTGGCGCAGCGGGCGCCCCGGGCGCAGAGCCACGCGGAAGACAGAGCTCGCCTCGGAGCAACAGGGCAAGGCCTGAGATTCAAAATAGGGTTCCTTCAAAGCTTCGGAGGCAGAGCAGTCAAGGAGTTTGGATTGAAGGCTCTCGCACACGGAATTCCAGCTACGGAAATTTTCCAGACCGGCCTCGACCAAAGAATGGGCAAAGTAGCCACGCACCGGCTCCTGCGCAAGATGCGCGCGCGATCGGCTACGAACAGGGTTTCTGGTTCGGGGCTTGGTGTCTCGACAAATTCCTACCTTTCCTGTTTGGACTTTGCAAACGGTGCACCAGAAGCCATGTTCTCTAACATTCTCTACGTTCAATGATTCCGGAAAGCCCGGAACCAACTCCTCGTCGTCGTACGCTGCGAGCCAGTTCTTCTGCAAACGGCAACCTGCAGAACGAGGCAGCAGGCTGGGGCCTTCCTCCCCCGCAGCTGCATCAGGCTTCTCGAACTCTGCTTGGGGCACTTCCGCAGCACCAGCAGCTCTTGCATGTACTTCGTTGCTCCTAGTTACCAACAGCGAAAGAGTCTACATGCCGAACTCCGCAGACCTTTCGACCCCAAAGCCATGCATGGGCTCCCGGCAAAGCGCTGCCAACACGGAGCAAAGGGCCTGCAACTGGCGCATAATTCGCACGCGTGTATATACGAGTGCGCAAGACAAAAACAACACAACAGACTAGACTTCCATTGGAGTAGTACCAAATCAAATGCAATGTTGTAACTGTAAATGTAAGCCATAAGATATGAATATGCATTCTGTGTAGTATGACATCGTAGGGAAGATGTTACATTACGTTCTACTGCACAGATCTAGATTTGTGAGTTTCTACGGGGTTCAAGCTTTATTTTGCGAATGTGCGTGTGCTGCTTTGTGCCGGCCCATCCTCACACCAATCTTTTGCGGAACTACCCAAAGCTTCAAACTCCCCATCATCCCTGAGCTGCCTCCCGCACTTTGCCCCGGCGTTTGCGGAGGCCTGCCAGACGTACCTGAAGCACATCTGGTCACAACTTCATTTAAAGCGTGGCTACATCATGCTGGCAAGTATGCACTGAAAATCCATGGTACGTCATCCATTTTCACTCTTCATGAACTAGATTGAACTAGCTTCCAAGTACGATAACATGACTGCGGCTATGCTTCACTCACATTCAACGGAGCCTCGGTGAAAGGACAAGCTCCAAGTTCCACATTCGCCGTAAGCATCTAGGGTGTCTTGAAAACCCTATTCTGTGGACTCGCCCAACGAACTAATTTCTCCATCATGCAATCTGAGACTTGTCAATGTTCTCACAATCTCGATTTCTTCGCATGCAAACCATAATGGGGGAGGACAAATGCTACTGACGGGACAGTTTTGCCCGGTTTCAGCCATGCAGCATAACTTCCATTCTGACGATGCCGTGCATATGTAGTACATCCCGAATAGCAAAAGTCCGTGAACATGCAAACTCAGACTGCGCAGGAAGAACCGCAAGCCCAAAACTGCTCCTAGAGCTCACGCATACACCAAACCAGCCATACGTTCGTCCAACCTTCAGCCCGGTGTCCTCTTCGTACCAAGGCACTGAAAGGTTGCGGCTCCGGCCGCCGGCCTCTCCCCTTGGTGACTTTTCAAACAGGTTCTTCTTACCCATTTTTCAGGAGAGTTCGGACAAGGTCCTTGGCATCATGTAGGTCAGCTCACTGACATTGTTGGACACCAAGATTGGTGTTGGAGGTCGGAAGTTGCAGAGACTTCACCATCAACAGCATCAGCACCAGCTGATCAACTAAGACTAATGAAGGGGTGTGCCGAAAGCCCTTGACAAGAAAGGATAGTATCGACATAGCTATGTATCATGTATACATGCATGTATGCATGCTCGCATTCACTCATGTATCCAATAGGCAATGTCGACATAAACAATACCAATCATCCATCCATACATGCATGCCTCCATCCATCCATCCATACATCCATCCATCCATTAATGCGCGAGAACGAGGCCGAGCAAGCTTGCGGCTTAGGGAAGCAAAAACTCACAACAGTCTCAACGAAGGAGAAAAGAAAGAGAAAATGATAACATGACATCATGCCAGCCAAAAAAACCTCCGCTGAACGCCCTTCGCCAACAACGCTTTCGCGAAAAAACATGTAAAAAAAAAAACACACCTTACTCTAAAGCGTCCTTCTCCCGTCCGCTTCGAGAAGTTTTGCGATTGCTTCCTCCGTGCTGTAATTACAGCCGGCAACAAGCCAAACCTGGAAGTCGTGGGGCAGAGCGAGGATGAAATGAGGCCGATTAGCCAACATCACCACTATCACGATCAACAGCATCAACACAAGCTCATCATGAAAAGCTCAGGTGCCGGAAAATGAGCACGTCGTAGTTGGCCGCCCATCGGCTGCCACTCTCGCGATGGCGGCAGGCCACGGACCTCTTCACAGATCCTACGCCCTACGCATGCTGCACGGGAAATGACATGTCCAAGGAGGGCGCAGCCCAACCAAAGGCTGGAACCTCGAACTAGATCCGGGAAAACCCTCTAGAGACGAAACTTCTGGCCGCCCCCCCGAACTCAAAATTTGCCAGGCACCTCAGGAGTTCGAGCGCTGTCCTGTGTAGCTCTGCATACCTGGGCTCCAAAGTTGGGTTGATGCTCTCCAAAAGCACGGCATGCTTCCGGACAAAAAAGACTGGTCGGTCTCATCGGATCTCATGACACCGAAGCGGTTCAAGAACGTGGGAGGGCTCGACAATCATTGGCCACTTTCGGACTTCCTGGACTGTAGTTTCGAGAACGATGACCCTGAAAGTGGCAGAAAGTGATAAAGATTTCGAACCCTCGGAATGCCTCGAGAAATTGCGTCTCTGCGACACGAGGTTGCCGAACGACTTTGGGACTTACGGATGTTCCGTCCAATTAGGTTGTTTCGCTCAGTCCGTCAGGTGGCTTCTCCGAAGCCGCATCGGCGACGCGCGACATTGCCACTGTCAGTCCCTGCCACGATACAGAGCTGCTTCAGTTGTCAAGCCTTCTGCCATCAAACCTGCTTCGGACTTTGCGGCAACACCTATGCAGACGACAGCTATCAGCTATCAACTTACCAGAGCAAGCAGTGGTGACAGCTGCGTTGTGTTTTGGACGGCATCTCCATGCCATTCCTGAAAACACATGACTTAAGGATGCCAGTAAAATCTTGCAGTGATTTTAGAGTACTTTACAGTTCGGATGCCTCGGCTAACATCACGAATGCAACGCGGAGACAGCACAACTGCCTGCTCACCCAGGCATTTGCCAAGCCCAGTTCGAACCACAGCCCACAGAAAGTCGACAGAGTGCTTGAACGATCATAGCTCACGGTCGCAACAAGACTATTCATCCGTGGCAAACATGCTGCAGTGTCCTGCCAAGAAACATGAATGACAGGAGCTTGATATCAAAACCATGCTGTCCCAGCACCTCTTCTTGCAGAGCCTTGGCGTATTCCCGGTGCCTCGAAGACAAAAGTGCCCTCTCAAAGTATGCCACTCTTCTTGTATCTGTAGTGGACGGACAGAAACTCGAGAACTGACCGTCGCATGAGGCTCCTTTATGTAAGGTATCTGTCTCCCTTAGTGGAAATGAGACTGCTCCGTGGTAGGCCTCTTACGGCGACCAGCTTGCTCACTAAAGTCAGGAAGGCAACCCAACTGGTGGTGGCAGAAACCCTTCGGCTCCGGAACCGTTGAGGACTTAACTCTAACTTCTGGAGGCTTCGAGCCAAAGCCACAGCGTCTCGTAGAGGCGAAGACCTGTGACTGCCGGTGGCAGCCGCTTGCGAAGCTGCGGAAGCTTCCCGGCCTCAACAAGATCCGCTCTTCAGACGCCACAAATCCACGATGTGACCCAGGACCCAAGTTGCCTGCGGCGTTGCTGGTGCTCTTAGCGGCCGCTTCTCGCCACGCGAGGCCATGGCTATGGCTTGTATATCAGTCAAACGAACCCAAGCAAAGTTGACAGGCACTGGTTGCAGCTGCTGCAGATGGACTATGCATAAGTTGGATGTTCCCTCTTCGCACACAGACCTCTGGGCCACAATGCCCTCAAGCACAAGCACGCCGCGAAAATCGCCACCACACTTCCACCCTCCCCGCTGTGTACCCTTGCCAACTGATGTGTGGAGTGTGATGTCCGTCACATTCCCGGTTCAACACAGATCCAACGCCTGTGAGAGGCGGTCCCAATCCATCTCTCCAAGCCTGTCGCGATTCCTGGCATGAATCGTCTGCAGCTCAAGACTTAGACTTACAGGTTCTTCAAAGCATGACCACCATAGTCTCTTGTGGACGTACACACCCTCTGCCCACGAGGGCCAGGAATCATCCGACGTCACTGCCTGAGCATCCCCGTAGTACAAAAGCAGCGGCCGCACAGGGCGTGCATGCACGCATGCATGCCTGGGTGTGATGGGTGGATGGGTGGATGGACCGATGGATACATAAGTAGATATGTTTACCTGCAACGTTAAAGACCACATACACACCGGAAAGCCTTAAGCACACGAGCACACCCAACTCGTACCATGCAACGCTCGACGCTGTGCTGACAGGTCCTCAGGAGGAACTCCACACGGCTGTCATCCTCAGAAGTCTCAGGGCGCGGGATGAGATATCCCATTATGAGTCCAACCTTCTAAAGTATCTTGCAATCGTGCGCCGTCTGAGAAGAAAGCCTCGGACCCAAGCCAAACTCTCAACGCATCCTGCAGGCACATGTACAAGCGTTCCGATGCCGCCGCACCCTGAAGAGCTCAGAAACAAAGCGACTTCGGCAAAACCCTCTCGATAAGCACCTTCTTAGACCCACTTTGCAAAGCGTCGCAAAGCGAGCCGAGGTCCTGGCATGGCAGCGCCCTCCCAGTCCACCCCGCAGCCGCGCGTGCAGGGCGTGGCGGAGCTCGGCGTCCCAGAAACTCCTTTTGCCGAACATGTGATGCTGTCAGATACGCCCGTATGTCGTGATTGTAGGAAGCGACTACATATTAGACCAAGGGCAACGTGTAGGTTGGAAGAACTGTCGAGATGATTGAATTGAATGGATCACCTGCACACCTTAGGATGTTCAAGAGTAGGCGCATTATGGTGTGTTGAGGTTCAGCCAGCTGCAGCGGACGACACCTCTTGTTGTTCGGAATGATTCGTCCGCCACCCTACACTGGCTTCTGGCTTCGGGCACATGTCAATACAAGGCGGTTACAGTTGACGCTACAAGTCCTCTCCAGGATGGCATAGCTTACAGCAGTCGGATGAAGACCTCGGCCAAAGCGGCAAGTGCATTGTCACACCTGTCACACCTGTCATGACTACTCCCGAATATTCCCAAATGCAGCCTTTTTGGCTCTTCCAAACATGGGCGAAGAAATGCAACGAACGCAGCGGTCGATCGTTGGAAAATGCGCATGAACGGCTTGTTGCTGGTTTGATGCACCGCAATCTGCTTCTACTGGCCGAATCCCTGCATGCGAACGGAATTGCAGCGGGAGCGCCTTGCAGGCTTGCAGGAAACGAGACACTTGAGTAGCGATGCTCCCAGGCGTTCACTTCTTGATGATCACACAGACGGCCAAACTCTCCACTCAGTACCCCAGCCGCATGGCGCGAGCTGCGCTGACCTCGGATTGTTTGCTCTCCGCTCATGGCACATTCCCTCAACCCATGGACCCACTACTTTCGGGCCTCATTTGGTCCTGCATCGAGTCCTACTTGTGTCGCCCTGGTGGCCCAGTCAAGACGTTGCTGTAGCGAAGCATCAGGTAATGACACACGATCCCATTGCGATCCGAGGCGCAGCAGCCGCGACTGCCCGAAGCGACCGCCGCGGTGACTTTGGTGCAAGAGGCACCTGAACGTGGCTGAACAGGCTTGGGTCTCCTAGGGGTTTCCTTCGCTGGACCAGCTTCGGGTCCCGAGATTCAGGCTGAAGTCTTGGTGCGCAAATTCCGTGGGCGACAAAGTCACTCTCCCAACCGAAGCCCGCTGGACTCGACGTTATGGCAAGCTGCTTAGGACACAAAAACGCACTGTCTGGCAGTCTCTCCCGTGCTTTTGTGGCAGGGCACTGAAACGAAGATGAAGCGGAGCATCCTTCGGAAACAGTCCTGGCTGCATGCATCACAACTCTCACGCACAACATCTCCACTCAGTCTGCAGAAGCACTGGTGAAGAAGATGGAAAACGAAGTGAGAAGACATGTCGCCTCTCTGTGGCAAAGTCTGCTGAACGACACTGAGGCCACGAATTGTGTGCATGACCAGGCCGTGTCCTCATCCAAGCCCCGGCGCAAACCTGCGGGTCAGGGGGCACGTTTCAGACTCAGACGTTTGGTCTTCTTTCGAACGGGCTCCCTAGTGTGGCTTTCTGACTCCGTTCTTTTTAGCCCTGTCTGCAGAAACGCACCCGTGTCTGAAAAGTCAATTTGCAGCTCGCTATAGGACCATGCCTCTCAAAGTTTCTCTGTGCAAATTAGAAATCTTCTGAGCTCTAAAAAAAGGCCCTCTCGCCCTTGGCATCCCTCGACCCCCATTGCACCTTCCAGAGTCTCTTGCCGCGCCCAAGGAGCGTTGAGCTCGGGGCACCGTGTGTTGAAAACCTGCAGGAGATAAAGAAGGGGAGATCTGCAGCCACTGCCACTTCTGACTAGTTCTTCCGCATGCTCACGAGATGCTCGAATGAAAAGCCTCCACAGCCTCACAGCCGTGCGTCTCATACGATGCAAGCAGCCGGAAACTCTGCATGGCCCTTTGCCCATCCGATGACCGGCCACGCGGACAACTGCGCCTTACGAGACACACAGCGCACAGTTTGAGGCATCCACGGTCAAGTTCACGCTGGTATGGCCAAGGGCTGTTGCCATCATAAGAACAGTCGAACAATCCAAAGCGACAGCCAGTACAACAGCAATAGCCGGTGAAAGGTGATCCCTCCACCCTTCCTTGCAGGACTCCCTGGATCCCAGTCGGGGTGAAATGCGACTGACTCGCTTAGAAGATAGATGTAGCAAAAGTACGAGCACCGGCTTGCGCGACTGGCCTCTGCTTCTACTTTTCGGATCCACTCCGGGAACGGTAGCACGAGCAATTGGCTGAACTCGGGCATCTCCGACCGAAGCAGCCTGGAGAAGTGCTGTGGAATTTGGTCGATTTCGGTGGCTCGGGCCTCCCCAGCTCTGGGAGGGTTTAGGACTTTAGGATGGGGTCCAATACCATTAGAATCGCCTCAGAAGGCGAAAGCACAACTCATGGCCCTCGTCGAACTGACACGCAGAGTCGATGTCCAAGCACTTCGACTTCGAAGGATTCACTCTAAACCCTCATGGCATGTGAAACCCGGAGCCACGTTCCATCAAGCAGCCACTGCTGCAGCTCTGCCATGGGCATGAGGGGCGCGCCACTCCTTGAAGGGTGTTGAATGGACGGTGCATCAAAAGTACCACCCTGGGCGTGGGTGGAAATTCTGGGGGACTTAGTGCCCGTTTTTGGATGCTTGTTGAAGCATCGCGGACTTTGCAGGCCTTGGGAAACTGGATATCGTGCAGTGATGTCCTCAAGGGACATTTGCTTCCGAGCAAGAGGGCCGAGGGGCACGATGTTGGCGGCCCCCTGCACGGACGAATCCTTGGAACGAGTATAGTGCCTGCCTGTGTTTCCTCCACCACCTTTCCCTCCCTCTGACGAGAGGCTCAGAATATCCCAACCCTCCCGCCTTCCCCCCTCGATCGCCAAGGCTCTAACAAATCCACCAGTGCAGCAGCCACAACATCGACAGGCAGCGAGTGCACAGCCGTGTGGTGCTCCTCTGGGAGCGGTGGCTTCATGTGGCCTACCCAGAAACCCTGCGGCAACGTGCTTGAACGTAGCCTTGCCAAAACGAAATGCTGGACCTCATGCGTATGGCATTGTGCCTCACTGTATGGCATGTGTGTGAGTGGGAAAAGTCAGCACCGGAACACCCACGAAGCCGGACATTCCGATCTCGTCCTGCGTCTGCGGGAAGGACTGCGCATGAGCAAATCCTGCCCACGAGGGCGAACTCGTCTCGTTTCCCACACATCGCTTCCCAAAAGACTTCTGATGTGCTCTGATCCATGAACAGTATAAGCTGCTCGGAAGCCGTACACGCAAAGCTGGCAATGCTTGGCCACCAAGCAGCCGATCGTCAAGCGCATGGTGAAATCTGTCGCGGAACAATACCTCACAGATTGAAAACAGCGGAGGCTTCCGCACCCCACCTGTCTACCCTTGAAAGGAAAGCGCTCCCGTAGCATTGCGTACATGTTTAAGCAGAGACAGAGATCCTTGCAGAACATTCAAGGAAAGCCGTGGAGCTCGATACAAGCACAGGCGGCGTTACAATCGTTGTGTCTCTTGCATTACTCTGATACCGCAGCCGCGAGGCCCCGTCAGCCGGTCCCCAGCAACCTTGCAGCAAGCGTTTGGCAAAGACGGATGGGATGCCACTATCTCTTGAGCTTCCGGTGCAGTGATGGTGCGTGCCCGCTGCACTCCGGATGCTAGCTTCTGCAAGCCTGCAAGCCCACTCTCTTTTGCATACGGCGAGAATACGAAAGCTCCGCTGGCATGTCTCCAATTGGAGGGGGCTGCAATGGGCCACATGCAAGCCAGGGAGCCATGCCAAGCCGCGCTGTGCAGGCAGATAAGCCTGCAAAATTGTTTCGAGTGACAAGGCTTGAGGCTTCTGTTCTTGGGGTGCTTTCGAGTTCGAAGCACTGTTGTGCACAGGTTGTTTTCAGGTGCAGGGTGTTTGGCAGCGGGGCGACAATGCCAAATCTCAACTTGAACCCTTCGCCCCGAGAGATCAAGTCAAGACTGCGAGGTTCTCGCTGCCGCGAAGTACGAGCGCCCAACCGAACCCCATGAAAAAGAATATGCACTCTATCTCTTTCCTCAGGCTGCCAACAGCAGCCGACAGCCATCTAAGCATCCGGACCTCATTTAGGCTGTTAAAGCCTGGCCCACTGCTGGTGTGAAAAGTGTGAAATCAAAGCTGCGCCATCCGTTCCCAAGTGGAGCAGACAGCTGCCAGCATGGGCCAACCGATTTTTTCGGTGTGTTGACCATGGTGGACCTTGCGCACCGGAGGTGGTAGCAGAACGTTCGTCATTTTCAACCGGCGGCAAAGTTGCTAAGATGAATTTGCGGCTAGATTGAGACCAGGACATGAACTGAAGGATCTGCACATATGCGGGAGCACGGGCAGAGGTGAAAGCTACCGGGTTCGCAACAGAACACAAATCTGCCTGTGGTAGCTCTGCATTTGTGCACACCTTTGCCCCGCCAGACCGCACAAACTCCTGATCATGTCCTGCTTCTGGTGACCGATGCCGCAAGTCTTAGCCCTGCGGGTGATACAAGGATCGGTCACAAGCACGGGTCAGTAATTGCTTTCTGCGCGACGGCTCAGAAGGCGTTGTAGCCATACCTTCCGCCGCTGTTCGGAAGAGGCCCAGCAATGCCGAACTGTTCGTGTCTCTTGGGTTCATGAAACCCGGCACGGTGAACTCCAAGGTAGCCAAGCCACACAGCTTGCAGGTCTTGCTGGACGCTCCGCTGCACCTCCCCGACAACTTGCAATCACTCTTTGACCAATAAGCCACGGCCAAGGGCCTCTACAGGGCAACTTCAAGACAACTTATGTGCAGGCTTTTGCAGACCTTTCGATTCCGACATGTTCTGCATGTTAGCTCATGCAAAACGTTATTATTTCGCACAGTGCTGCGTCAGCAGCTGCCTAGCGTCTCACGACATCACGCTGCTCTAGTCTTTGTCAATCATGTTACACCAGGGCTACGTATTCTCGACGTCAGATGTTACCAAAACCTACCAACTACCATATTTGCCTAAGACTACAGTACGCATGCACGCAACAGCCGGCCTCGGGTGACAGCGTCGGAGCCCAATGCAGATCCTGCTTCGAGGCTTCGAATCCAAAGCTGAGGCTGCAGCAGGAATGCTGTCTGCTACTTCGCGCTACAGATTCAAGATCGGAACCCAGTCTGCAAAGCGTGCCTACTCTCCCGAAACCTGAGCATCAAGGAAGACCACGAACCAGTTAGACTAGAACCCTCCGGGTCAAAGGACGAGAAACCCTAAAGAAGCAAGATGGCGCCATGTAGGCACAAACTCAAGAGTTGCAAACAGGTTTCGGGCATCCTCCGGCGGTGGCGCCGAGCCTGCCTCCACATCGAAAGCCTGCGGAACGAACGGAGGACAAATGCCGGGTCCTGGCCCCGAGGCCTTTAGCGAGGAAGGGGTAAGGGTCTGCTCCAGTCCTGAGGCGCTTCCGAGGGCAGCTTCAACTCAGACAGGTCCTCGCAAAGACCACGAAAAGGGGCGGGACCCGGGGGAGGACTCTCAGCTTCGAAAGCAGGACCAAGAAACGCCGTAGCTTTGCACAGCCAAGTTTGAGGGTCGTGCTAGGAAATCGCATCGCAGGCGAAGTCTAGAAGTCTGCTCCTAACTCGTTGCCAGCAGGGACGGCGGAGGGTCGGGGAGGGTCCTTCACGATGTATTCGCCTGTCAGGGCCCGCAGCTCCAGCGAAGGAGCAAGAAGAAGTCTTCAGAGCAAAACCTCCGCACGCCTCGGCCTCAAGGCCTGGCAAGGCTGCCCCGGGCCTTCATGGCCAGGTATCTGGACCAGACCTTCTGCATCCAGGTCACGAAGGCCTCACTGAGGTGTCGGTGGTGATGGACTGTGCTTGTCATCCTTACTACTGGTAGCCTTTCGTTACGATTACTGTTCTTGTGGCTCCTTGTCAACACTGTTAACAATACTACACTAATAACGCTATACTACACACCTTTCTAATCGTACTAGCAACAAGTGCAGGAGCAGTGGCGGTAGCGGTAACGGTACCGGCAGCAGCAGCAGTAGCAGCAACAGCAGCAGCAGCAGTAGCAGGAGCAGAAGCAGTGGCAGTGCCAGTAGCAGTGGTACTCGCAGAAGCAGCAGCAGAGGTAACAGCAGAGGTAGTAGCGCAAGTAGTAACAGCAGAGGAAGCAGACGTTCTTGTTGTTGTTGTTGCTGTTGGTGTTGTTGTTGGTGTTGTTGGCCGCGGCTGCAATGGCGGTGGCGGCAGAGGCGGTAGTGACGTCGTTGTCGGCATCACTGTCGGCGTTGTAGTTGCAGCTGTAGTTGCAGTTGAAGCAGGAGCAACAGCAGTGCTATCGGCGTAATAGCTGGCTGTCAGCATGATTGCTACAACGGGGAACATTCGTTGATCTTGCAGTTGAAATTGCTACCATCATGGTCTCCCTGTTGTTGCTGTTGTTGTTGTGGTTGTTGGTAGCACTCCGATGAGGGGTCTCACTGCGCAGGAGTGTGCTTGTGGGTGCGACTGAGAGCATGACTCTCAACTCTGCCGAAGACAGCTTGTCGACGATTATGAGGACTACTGTTTCTATTCGTCAGAGTTCGTTTCAATGTCGACATTATGGTTGCCTAAGTGTGTACGTGTGGATGTGTGCGTGTGTGCGTGTGTGCGTGTATGTTACGCTTTTGCATGTCTCCGTGCCCCGGAATCGGTTCGAGCCACCGCCATGGCAAAGAAGAAGCCGACGAGCGCGAAGAGGACGACGATGGCGATGAGCTGTGCGCACACGCAGACTTGAGGGCCCTTATGGGGGCCCTTATCATGAGGAGGGAAACTCCGGACGAAGCTTGTCAGACTTGTTACATGTGAATGCAACTTCAAGCCAGGATGTATTGAGCTGTGCAGGTCTCCCACATTGACATTATGACATTCTTAATAGAATCTACTGAAGGAAGGCCTTTGAGCACTCTGCAAACTTGCTGAGCTCTTTGTCTTATGCCAGGCATTTTGTCGAGCCACGATGACACCCAGCACAGCACCACCGTTGTTGTTGCTGTTGCCACCACCGCCTGGAGCACTTGGCAGAACACAGTAAACCCTGTACCCTCAAACCAAACCCCCTCGGCTGTCCGGAAGAATTCTCACAAAGAATGATGGGCGTTTTGTAAAAACTACGCTGCACAGGGCCTCCCGATGAAGTCGGAAGGTTGGGAGTTGGACAGTCCCTGCAGCCGTCGCAGCAAGACCTGTGAAGGGGACTGCGCGGATTCGAAACGCATGGGACATGCAACGGCATGACATGGCTCTACGTGGCGCTCCAAGATATTCACCAGAGCACCACGCCTGCCCTCACAGTGAAGGCAACATTCACAGCCTTGAAAGGAGAGCACATCAGAACGCAAGTGGAAGCAAGCACCACTTGTGCAGACTAGGCACAATCCTCGCAGGCCCGCATCCTAAGCTGCAGATCCCTGTAGATCAACACCGACCTGATGGATATTGGATGGATTGTACTAGAAGGCTCTGTACATAAAGGTCGGCACTAATAGAGCAGTGACGCTTAGCACCTCCATGGGCGCAGCGAAAAGAAGCATTGCATGTTTTGTGTACATCAGGTTCTACGATGATGTGAGTTGCTGCCAGGCATCTGATAATACGTGGTGATGGGATGCTGCGTCTGCAATGCTTGCATTGGTCCTTGTCACAGCCCGGGCCAGCAGACGAAAGAGCCAAATGTGTCGTTCTTTTTACTTTCGTTCCCAGAAACTCAACCTTTGACCCCTGTTTCACATCAGCACTTGAAGACCCGGCAACATAGTTCGGGACGAAGCCACCATCGGTCACGGTGCTGGGCTTGCACAGGTTGCAGCAGGCCATGATGCTGACCACCTCACGCTGCCCAAAACCGTGTACTCTCAAAAACATGTTGTGAAACCCGTCAGCCGATTTGGGCAATAGGATGCGACACTAGGTGATGATGACAATCGCCCGGGTTCCTTCGGAATCCCAGACATGTCTCCGACACGATGTTGAAGTCGGGACCCTCGGCTTGTCCAAGTGACATTGCCATCCCGATGACTGCCGACGACTCCCGTCTCACTGGCCTTCTTCACAAACCCGCCTTGTCGGTGGAAAACAAACTCGATCTTCTCGGAACGATGAGGTCACACTCATTGGCATCGTCATCGGCAACTTCTCTGCAACGATAATTGAGTTCTGCCCGCTGCTGCAATCGCAAATTCAGGCAGGCACGTCGATGTCTGCATGCACGATTGTTGTCAGGTCGCGGAACGGCATCGATTATAATGGTGAGTGCAACATAGTACGCATGTAAGGAAACCATCCTTCGCTACTGCCAGGCTATGCAATGAGACTCCTGCAACACAGTCATCGCCATAGCAATAAGCGCAACAAGCATCACAACTGCGTTCCACTTGCGTGCTTGCAAGATGTTGCTGACTCTACAACATGCCATACAAGCTGACTCCGATTCTGCGGGCATGTTCAAGCTTTATAAACCATACCTTCTGGCGCGCTGCAACCACACGACGGACTCATGGGTTCTAACCTGGAATGCCATACATCTCTCCTGAACTTGCCCTTGGCGCTTCAAGATTGCTACCAGGATCCGGAAAACAGCTGCAGGCGATTCAGGCTTCAGGGTGTTACATTTCATCCATGCAATATGACAGTTTCACTGCTAGCCATGACTTGTTGTTGGATAATGTCTCTCAATGTACCTGTCGGCTGAGTGCCTTTGGGAATGACAATATTTCGGACCAGTATAGCGGTACAGCAGCTTTGGTAACCCCAACGGCCAAGGATTGCA